TTTTTTTTCAACGTGTTAAAACAAAGCGGTGACATGTCACATCACCGTTGCACTGAAAAGACAAAACAGCAATGTTGACAGGCCCTGAGGATCTGAAACCCTCTGTGGAGGTGGTGACATCCAGCGGGGGGCTGGCTCTGGGTCTGTGTCCTAGTCAGGACCTGGCCGTCATGGACCATTTTCCTCATCTACTGCATCTGTATTCTTTTTCTTGTCTTCCTTTTTTTTTTTTTTGAGAGAGAGAGAACATGCAAGCTGGGAAGTGGAGCAGAGGCGGGGGGGCGGGGGCGGAGAGAGAGAGAGAGAGGGAGAGAGCCTTAAGCAGACTCCACACTCAGCACAGAGCCACACATGGGGCTTGATCCCACGACACTGGGATATGACCTGAGCCGAAATCAAGAGTCGTTCTCTCAACTAACTGACTGAGCCACCCCGGCGGCCCTGCATTCTTTTTCAATTAAATGAGAACCTCTGGTAAGCAACATGTTTTCAGTTTCAGCCAAACTAGGGATTATTATTATTTTAAAACACCCAAATAAACAAATTATGGCAAATCTCTATGACGTAACACTACAGTGGAAGAGTTAATGGCGAGAGCCAAAGTGTAAGATGTGAATGGGGCGCCTGGGTGGCCCAGTCAGTTAAGCATCTGACTTCGGCTCAGGCCATGGTCTCACGGCTGGTGAGTTCGAGTCCTGCATCGGACTCTGTGCCGACAGCCCGAAGCCTGGAGCCTGCTTCGGATTCTGTGTCTGCCTCTCCCCTGCTTAGAATCTGTCTGTCTGTCTGTCTGTCTCAAAAATAAACATTAAGAAAATTAAAAAAAAAAAAAAAACAAAGTTTAAGATATGAAGAGAAGAGCAAGTTACAAACACATATAACATGATGTCACTGTTACTAACATATGCATGCGTAAATAACACGGGTAGAAAAAAACTGGATGTACCCACTGCAAATACGATATAACATCACAGTGGTTTTCTCTGAATGGCATAACTCCTGGTGATCTGTATTTTTGTTTTCACGCTTTTCTGTGATCCATATATATTTTCTAATGCTTATGTACCGGGTTTGTAGCAATTAAAAAATAAATAAATAAATGCCTTGAAGACTTTAAAATATCTTCATGTACTTTTGGTGGGAGTGTGGATAGGGAACAATTCCTTGGAGAAGGGATGTGGGCATATGTGTACAACGTTGCATGCAAATACTCTTTGACCCGGCATTTCAACTTGTTATGACCCACTCCCACGGGTGCGCAAAGAAGTAGACAAAAGGACCATCAAGACGGCATTGGTTGTAATAGCAAAAGACCAGAAGACTCAAATGCCCATCAATAGGGAAATACAAGTAAATTAGGGCACGTCTATTCATGCTAATACAGCCAGTAGAAAAACCCAGCTGTGAAACTGTGTCTAAGCAGGGCGCCTGGGTGGCTTAGTCGGTTAAACGTCCGACTTCGGCTCAGGTCGTGATCTCGCGGTTCGTAGGTTTGAGCCCCACATCGGGCTCTGTGCTAATGGCTCAGAGTCTGGAGCCTGCTTCGGATTCTGTGTCTCCCTCTCTCTCTGCCCCTCCCCAGCTCACACTGTGTCTCTCTCTCTCAAAAATAAAGAAACATTAAAAAAAAAAACAAAACCAAACACCTCTATCTCTAAGATACGTGATTAAGTGAGAAAAGCAAGGTGCAGGATATATGCAGTCATTTGTGTAAAACTGTTTTTGGTATTTGCACATGTACAGGCTGTCTCCAGAAGGTGCTCCTAAAGATTATAATAATGTTGCCTCAAAAGAAGGAAATGAGGGAAACAGGAAAGAGGAAACCAGATGAGAGGAAAGCTTAATGTAATTGGATAGCCTTCCTTCTGTACTTTGAATCTTTCACTTTGAGCAAATATTACCACGAAAACAAAACCAAACAAAAAACTTTAAAATGCAAAAGCCGCAGGGGAAACCGCATCAATTATTTTTCTAAAGGTTTCAGCACCTTATGCCATAAGCCTCTTCCTTTTGAAGGCAGCCCCCCAGTATTGCTGCCTCCAGGAAAAAAAAAAAAAAAAACACAACCATTCAAGGGACCCCAAGTGTTGCTGTTGACCTGGGGCCCTCATGCAGAGTCACGCTGGCTCCTTTTTTACAATTTTTTTAAAGTTTATTTTTATTCGCAAGAGAGAAAGAGAGCTAGTGGGGGAGGGGCAGAGAGAACGGGAGACAGAATCCCAAGCTGACTCCGAACTGCCAGCACAGAGCCCCCTGCGGGTCTCGAACTCACAAACCATGAGATCATGACCTGAGCCGAAATCAAGAGTCTGACGCTCAACCGACTGAGCCACCCAGGCATCTCCACACTGGTTCTTGATGTGACCTCTAGGACCGGGTTTGGACAAGCACGGGTTCAGGCAAAGCAAGAGGCTGTGTCCTTTGACAACACCATCAAATTCTCACTTGTATGCAGTAAATAAGAAATTGTTTACCTTTCAGCAAAGGTATCGAGTTTCCCCAGCTCATCAGAGAGGCCAACAAGGGAATCCAAGGTCCCCACCTAGAAAGGTTGCAAAGACATTAGCGGCTCGTGCTTTATGGCAGGGAAGGTGTAGGTCACTTTCAACAACAGTGCAGGGACTTCTGTGATTTCCGTCTTGCCTTAGTTATTCTGGGTCAACGGCCAAACTGGAAATTGGGAAGAGCTCTTAAGAGAAATCAGCGGATTGGGGATATTTTCTCATTTTTAAAGTTTAGCTGTTATTATTATTACTGCCAACAGGATGAACTGTTACATTTCTGCCACAGGAAGGAGCAACTTCTGTATCATTGTGGGACCCCAGCTCATTATCTTCTTAAAGTGGCAGTCTGCTGGTCACATGATCAATCCCCATCGCTGAGGAGGAAATGTACCAGAAAGCAAGTTAAAGAAGTTACCATTTTTTTTTTAGTTTTTATTTATTTATTTTTTAAGAGAGAGAGGAAGAATGCACACGTGTGAGCAGGGGAGGGGCGGAGAGAGCGAGAGAATCCCAAGCAGGCTCTGTGCTGTCAGCGCAGAGCCCAACACGGGCCTCGATCTCATGACCCTGAGATCATGACCTGAGCTGAAATCAAGCATCGGATGCTTAACTGACTGAGCCACCCAGGTGCCCCAAGAAGTCACCATTTCTAAACGCTTTTCTTCTCCAAGATGTCCAATCAATCTCTGTCTCTGCTCTGCTTTGCTGTTATTAACAATGATCTTGCGGGGTGGGGGGGGGGGGGGGGGGGGGGGGGGGGGCGGCAGCTTCCTCCCCTCCCCCCACCTCATCATTCCTGCAAGTCTTTCTCTTTTCAGATTACTTATAACGATCTATTTCTTAATGTGAAAATTATTACGCAGCCCAAAACTGTATTGAAAGGTCTCTTCCCGGAATCAGAAGGAGAGACTCTGTGTTCAGATTACCAATCCCCCATCGGACATTAAAAAGCAATTAAGATTAACACTGCGTGTCAAGTATACTTTAATATAAAAAAAAATACTTTGAGAAATACCTTAAGAAAGGCAGTTAGGAAATGATGAAGCACAGCTACCTCTAGTAAGTGCAGTTTGCTTCTCTTTCAAGCGATCTGATGTTAAGCCATATTTGGCAGAGGTCCTGCCTCTTATCTTTGTTCCCTCCAGTCTAACACATTGCCTTACAAAGAGTAAGCGGCGAGTGGATGCTGAATTCCCCGACCTCCACAGCGCCGGTTGCCAGGCAAACAGTGGCAGCAACATACGGATTCAGAAATCAGTGCCGCCACTTACCAGATTTACCACCCTCGTCTCCTTTCCCCGCCCTTCCTGATCTATAACGTGGGCCTTGTGAACATTCCAGATGGTGTGTTCAAAGTGCCTGGCCCCCAACATACTGCTCGATAAACGCTAGCAAATAGGGTCGCATCACCAATGATGCTGACGGTGCAGCCCTTTTGGTAGACTGGCCGACTGAGGTTTGAAAAAGAGGACAGGGCAGTTTTCTAGAACGGCTACCGCTGGGCAGTTAGGGCCATCCCTCCAGCACCCACAGTGCATCTGCATAGCTGTCATTGAAAAATGCCTCAAGCCTCTTCTCTCTGGAAGCTTACAATCTCAGGAAGGACTGCGACAAGGCTACTCTTCGGAAGTAAAAAGACTGCACACCTTGTTCCTCTCTCACATTTGTTAGATTCTAACTTTGTTCTCCACAGCAAGAACCCTTAGACTTCCCTGCCTCGTGTCTTTCTGCCATCGGCCCTGTTACCATTAAGTTCCCTTCCTGCCTCTCCATCAGATTCCATCTGAATCTCCCACCCTGCTTCCAGTTCAAGAGCACAATCAAGACCGAAGCTCTCCACGCCTGTACATTTCAACTGTATTGTGGGGCTTCTTGGATGTCGAAGACAAAACAGGAAGAATCCTAGAACAACTCACAAGAGCCTAGGTGTGGAAAACACTCTCCCCATTTTTTTTTTTTTTTTTGAGGACACTGCTACCCACACCCTTCTCTCCCTGTTCATTCTGTCCTGTGTTTTTGGGTCCATAGGAACCACAATTAACTCTGGGCTGTGGCACGAAGTCCCATCCAGACCACTGACTTCCCTGTGCATCGTCCCCCCCTCAGGCTTATCCTCAGCGTTGCTGCCTTTGACCTGTTATTTTCTCCTTGGCTTCCCAGGAGACACCCACCCACCCCAAACCATCATGTCCTTCCTCTCTCCCCAGGAACTTTACCTTGAAGTCAGGAATCGAGAACTTGGTGTTATAAGACAGGTTGGACTTGGAGGTTACCGTGTTCATCCTCTCCAGGGCTTGTAAGTTTTCCTTGTCGCCGGGGGCAGAAATTAACCAAAACTCCGACATGGCTTCCAGACTTCTTTTAGCCAGTTACTGACCAGAACCACAGCAACACGCACAAACAGAAACAGGAGGAGAGAAGTGTCAAATATCTCTACTCCTTCGCCACTTCCCTTCCCTCAGAATTAATCCTCTCCAGGAGGTGTTGCCTTTACTACATCCCATTCTTTGTCCCCCCCCCCCCCCCCCCC